AGAGAAGCAACCCTAAATGGATGGGATGGAAATTTGGCACCCGTCTTCTGCCTTCCACTGCTGCAGCATTTCATGTGGCTTCCTCTCTGACTTTATAGGAATTCGGTCAGTTCCTGGATTCCAAAACTATGATCCTGCCACAATCTAGTCTGGTTTGATCTCATTTCGTAGACTACAGAAATGACAAGTCCCAAGGGAGCCTAGATACCATGGTGATAGGATTCAATTAAATGGTCATAGTAGGTCATTGGTATGAATCTGCAGGACCTAAGCAGAGCAGTGGCAGATAGGGAGCCTTGGAGGTGTCTCATCCCCAGGGTTGAGTAGGGACTGACTTGAAGGAAGTTTAACAATGACGACAAAGGTTTTGGCCTTGAGAAGGGTTGGCAAAATTAGTGGCATACCTGGGGGTGTTGTCACCCGGTGCCAGGAGGGCAGACTGCCTTGGGCTCCAGAGGTCTGTTTGGGTTCCAGCATGGCTGCAACTACGGCAAAACCCAAACACAAAATACTGACCCCCTGCCCAGCAGCCACTGCTGCTGGAAGAGGCAGTGCCAGTCCTCCAGAGGTCTGTTTGGCCACACCAGGTGTACCACCTCACTGGGTGACATCCCCATCTGGGGTGTCACCCAGTGCAATCCACACCCACCGTACCTGCTTAGTGATGCCACCGGGCACAATGTGCAAGCCTGCTACCTGTGGGCATAGAGAATGGGCTACTACGTCTTCTTTCTGCTTTGACTAGTGCAGTTGGCCCTTGGTATCCACTCAGGTTTTGGTTCCAGGACCTCTTCTCTTCCTCCCACCATCAGTACGTAAATCCATGGATGCTCATGTCACATAATATACAACAGCGTAGTAAAAATAGTGTACCTTATATAAAGTGGCAGAATCAAGATTTGCTTTTTGGGATTGATTTATTGGGTATTTTTAAAAGCTACGGACAGTTGAATCTGTGGATGCAGAATCCGTGGGTACAGAGGGTCAACTGGAAAGGCTGTTGGTGCTGCTTGGAAGTTCTGGACTAGAACCTTGCTGAGCAGTTACAAATGGGCAGCTTACAGTTATGCATTCGTAACGGCTACTTCTTCACAGCCCCTACCTTAGGGGCTTTGTAGAGACTGTGACAGTCCCCCAAACACCACAGAGATCACCAACACAGGGGAGGTTTGCGGCAGGAGTCCTTTTCTGCTTCTTGTGTAAGGTGGGAACCTCAGGAAGCCACTTTTTGATCAACAGGGGTACAGACCCCTGTCGATCCCAACAGCTGCTTACCGGTAAGTGGGGCTTGGGGAAGGGTCTCGCCAATCCCCTACGTATGTGAAATTGCTTTTGAAATTCTTTGTGAGGAGCAAGGAGCCAGCGGGATGTAGATGCTCCTGCTTTGTGCACCAGAAATCTTGTATAGGGCTCCCATTCCGGTCTTTTGGGAAAGGTATGTTTTGGAGTGCAGCTCCCAAAATCCCTTGGTCAACACAGTCAGCAGACATGCTGCCTGAGGGATTCTGGGCATTGGGTTCCAAAAAGTAACTTTTCCTGCCTCTGCTAGAAACACTTCATGCATAACCTTCGCAGCTGTAGAAGCTAGAAACATGCTTTTTTAAAAAATAAAATGAAGCGGAGATTCTCAAGAAACTGGATGATGAGTCCAGTGCTAGTTATGGGCTTCTTTCTGTTTTCTTGGGATTTCTGTGTAATTGTTTTAACTACTTTCAAACTGGCATGTGATAACTCTTGCACGTTTTGATATGCTTTTAGCTTTTAAAGTGATTTTTATTGTTTCAAATGGCTCAGTCTAAACTGTTCAAACCGATACCATTGTATGCTGCCACAAGATCCTTGGATATAGGGTGGGATATACATATTGTAAGAGAGCCAGCAGCGTGGTGTAGTGGTTTGAGCATTGGACTATGACTCTGGACACCAGGGTTCGAATCCCAGCTTGACCATCTAAGGCTAAGCCCACTGGGTGACCTTGGGGAAGTCACATTCTCTTAACCTCAGAGAAAGGCAATGGCAAAGTCCCTCTGAAGAAATTTGCCAAGAAAACTCCACAATACGCCATAAGCTGGAAACGACGTGAAGGCACACAACTACAATAACATAAATATTGTAATGAATAAATAAAGGCTCATAACTCAACCTTTATTCCACTTTTTCCAGGCAGCGGACTTGAGGGCTGAGAGACTTCTCCTTGCCTGCGAATGTCTCCCCTTTGCAAGCTCTTGTCCCCATCTTTGCTGTGGTTTGCTAGTTACAGAAGCCCCTGCCCTTTTGCAACTCAGGAGGATCTCCTCTCTGTCTCTGGTGTCCTGCATCCAGTTTTTGTAAGCCAGGCAATCTTCTTGAAGCTATGCAGAAGTCATAAATTTCAGGAAACTCCCTGCAAGGCGCATTTCAGTGTGCTTTTGGGCTGCAATGGGGGGAGGCAGGATGAAGCCGGCCCTTCCTGCCCTGTGTGAGCAGATAGCTTTGCAGCCAGGAGGAACGGAAGAGGAAGAGTGAGCGCTTGGGCCTGTTCTGAAAACGTTTGTCTCTAATTTGGGGGGAGAAACATATATGGGATGGGGTGGGATTAGGGTCTCTTTCCAAGGCAGAGGTTCCTGTTTGAGGAAGAGAGACATAAGCAGACTGTCATTGTTTGAGGCTTGCTTCAGGATGGGACGCTGGACATGAAGGACTTGTCTGGAAGGGAATGGGAAATGAGAAACCGGCCTCTGGTGTGTTTTTTCTGTTTTAGAACAAAGTTCTCATTGCCCCAAAGCAGTAGGACAGAAGTTGCAGAAGAGGCCAGCTCAAATGTTTGGGCTGGGTGGTGTGTGTGTGTGTAATTTTCTTTGTGGGTGGGGAAAGACTTCAACCCATTCAGCCTGGAATGGACGATGAATGAGGCAGGATACCTTGCAGGTTTGTAAAGTCATGAGCAGGGAGAAAATAACCTGCCTTCCAAAAGGCAGCTTTTTCATTTGTTTGTTTTACACCTGGAATGGATCTAGGTAGCAGCTGGAAAGCAGGTGAAAAGAACTATTTATTTAGCCAATACATAGAAGGCTTAATGATTGGGCTTATGAACAAGGAGAGGTTGGTGCCTTCCATGTTTTAGAAACCGGCTAGATGCTGGTGTGGTGTAGTGGTTTGAGTATTGAACTACAACTCTGGAGACCAGGGTTCGATTCCTACTCAGCCATGAAACCCACTGGGGGACTTTGGGCAAGTCACATGCTCTCAGCCTCAGGGGAAGGCAATGGCAAACCTCCTCTGAACAAATCTTGCCAAGAAAACCCCATGATGGAGTTGCCATAAGTTGGAAATGACTTGAAAGCATACAACGACTGGTATAGGGGCTTTAAAAATGTTTGTTTTGTCAGTGCAGGAATCAGACTTTCTTCATTGTGGTTTGTTCTTGTGTGCCTTCAAGACAACTCTAACTTATGGTGGCCCTATTCTAGGGGTTTCTTGGCAAGGGTTATTTGGAGGAAGCTAGCCATTGTCTTCCTCTGAGGACTAATCTGCACTGCAGAAATAATGCAGTTTGACGTCGTGGCCATGACTAAATGTTGTGGAATCCTGGGTTTTGTAGTTTGTAGCACCAGAGCTCTCTGACAGAGAAGGCTAAATATCTCACAAAACTACACATCCCAGGATTCCGTAACATTGGGCCATGGTAGTTAAAGCTTTGTCAAACTGCAGCATTTCTGCAGTGCAGATTAGACCTAAAACTAACAGAGTGGGACTCATCCAAGATCACCCAGTAGCTTTCCCTGGTTGAACCTCTGCTTTTCTGGGTCCTAGCCCAACTCTCATACCACTACACCATATCATTGTTATCTGCCTTCCAGTGAACTCCGACTTATGGAGACCCTATCCCAAGGTTTGGTTGGCAAAATATATCCAGAACAGGCTTATCATAGGGGCTAAGCGCCGTCTTCAGAGCAAGGAAGGGGAGGGGCAGCAACACTCTGGGTGCCCCAACCCCTTCCCCAAAACGTCCTCGGAGCAGCTGGCCCTCCGCACAGCCGGCGCTCCGAGGATGACCTCCCGCTGCAGCGTCCGTACACGCTGCAGCGGAAGAGTCGCCAAAGGTGCGCCGGCAGCCTTTTGCGGCGCACCTTCGGTGATTTGTGGAAGGAACGCTATTTTAGCGCTCCTTCCAGGGGCGGCGAAGCTGCACCACGGGGCCGAGGTGTGCGGATACCTCGGCCCCGCAGCGCAGCTTCCTGGGGCAGCCCCGTGCCGCCCGTCTGCATCACCCCATAGTTTTCCTGTGACACTGAAAGAGGGTGACACCCTGGCTCACCCACTGGGTTTCTGTGGGCAAGTGGGGGTTTGAACCCTGGTCTTCTGGAGTATTGGTCCAGCATTCAATCCACTACAGCATGCTGGCCCAAAGATAAAGGGTTTCCTTGGGAAGATTTATTCAAAGGAGGTTTGCCATTGCCTACCTGAAGTCCAACACTCAAAACCACTCTCCCGGAAAGCCAGCCTTTTCCTCGTGCTGAGGACCACATTGCATATGGATCAACTCAAGAAAACCACGGCTGCCCCCATTTTGCAAGACCTGAGCAGGGCTGTGGATGTCTGGGCTCTTGGAGGCCTCTGTCAGTCAGAGGGTCATCATAATCAAAGCTGACAGAGGTTGGATGACCGTCTTTCAGGAGTGCTTCAGTTGTGTATTCTGTATAATGAGGGACTGGACTAGGTGGCCCTTACAGTCCCTTTCAACTCAGTAATTCTGTGATTCTGTGACTTGATGAGAGATAAGACACTGAGGGTGCCACTAGCTTTTAGAACAGGGTAGGTCCATAAATATAGATTTATTGTTGTCTGGTAGTCCTGAAGGTGAAAAGCTACCGTATTTTCCGGCGTATAAGACGACCCGCGTATAAGACGACCCCCCAATTTTTCCAGTCAAAACATAGAGTTTTAGCACCTCTATCCTCATTATCCTTATATCCGGCGTATAAGACGACCCCCCCCCACTTTAGCCACAGATTTTGCAGGTAAAAAAGTAATAATAATAATAATAATAATAATAATAATAATAATAATAAGTTTTATTTCTACCCCGCCCCTCTGCGTCGCAATCGGGGCGGCTTACAGTAATTAAAAAAGTACAGTTAAAACAATCCAATATCCCAATCCCTCCTCCCATTCCCTCCCACACCCCTTAAGTAGTCTTATACGCAGGAAAATAAGGTATATCTCATACCTCTGATTGCCTAGAGGTATGAGATATAGCTTGCAACCCAGACAGCTTGCAACCTCCAATGGACCAGGGTGTGTTTGTCTTGTTCTGGGTTTTCAGCTGCCTTTTGTAAGGTTGCTCCAAATCCAAGATGAGACCCAGCAGAGCAGAAAACTCTGTTCATCTGCCCAGTGGCTGTAGCCCATCATTAGGAATGTGGTTTGTCCGTCTGTCATTTCAGGAGGCCAAAAAGAAAAGGGAGACGGAGAGCCCATCAAACCAAATGCTTTGCAACGGGGGCTTGCATGGCGTCCTGCTCCTGCTCCGTCAGCCCTTGCCGCAGGGGTCTTTTAGGGAGGGGTCCCCCTGCTCTCCCATTCATCCGGCCTCTCTAACAACTGCCTTTATGGCGATGCTGATGATTTTGAAATCTCGTGGCTGACCTTTCCAGCTCTGGAAGCCATCCAAGGCCTGTGTCTTAAAGCACAGTGAAGGTTAGGAGGGAGGGAAGGAGGCAGGGATGGAGGGAGGGAGGGTGCACATGAGAATGTCCTCTGGAGCCACAGGAGTGGGAGACAGGAATGCCATCAATGCCATAGGAAGTGCTGCGGAGATGCCGAGCGAGGCTCGCTGTGACCTTTGAGAGGGTGTGTTTGTTCCCCTTCCAGGAAATCAGGATCCTCAGATGAAGAAATTGTTTAGCTGAGAAACCAGCAGGAGCACCTGCAAGCGAGGGTGCATCCACACTGCAGAAATAATCCAGTCGACACCACTTTAACTGCCATGGCTCAACGCCCTGGAGTTCTGAAGATTGTAGTTTTGTAAGATGTATAGCCTTCTCTGTCAGAGAGCTCTGGCACCGCAACAAATTACAAATCCCAAGATTCCATTGAGCCATGACACTTGAAGCCACTGCAGCGGCTCTTTTGCACCCTTTTGGCGCAGTGTGTATGCGCGCTGCGCCAAGACGGCGCCCTGACGCCATGCGACGTGCAGATGGGCGCACGGCATCAGGCCGGAGTCAGGACAAGGAAAACATCTCCTGAAAATAAGCCATAGTGTGTCCTCGTGGGGCAAAATAAATGTAAGACAGTGTCTTATTTTCGGGGAAACATGGTAGTAGCCTCTTTTAACGGAGTTGTTGTGAGATTACTGCGATAATGTATGTGGAAGTGCTTAGAGCAGATGGAAACAGCAATAAATATGAGTATTACTATCAGTAAAAATAATTTGTTGAATTAGATTTTAATGGCATTTTAATGAGATCATTTTACACGCATTTTCTGATTTTATTTTAGCCACTTTTCTTTCAAGGTTCCCTGTTTATGTTAGACCTGTGTTGGGATGCCGGAGCCATCTTCGAGGCTTTGGGGCTTATGGCTTGACCAGGTGTGTGTGTGTGTGTGCTGTGCTGTGCTTTGGTGTGAAAGGTATTACATGCTGTGACCCTGTGCTGCTTATCTCTTTGAGCGCTCAGCCATTGCCCGCCTGCATACAGATCCTTGTTGGGCAGAAGTGGCAAAGATCATCTCTCTTTTTCTGGAACTGCCTTTTGTCGTTCTCATTGCTAAGACTTTGGCCTGCCTGCTTTTTAGGCCTGGAGAAGTCTCCCTTCCATATCCGACTCACAGACCTAACTATCTAGGGCAGGGGTAGGCAACTTTTCCCCTT